TATATATATATAATATATATATATATATATATATATATATATATATATATATATATATATATATATGCAAAACAACCACTCTGAAAGAATAGAGAAATTCCAAGCGCTTTCGTGACTACTCACATTATCAAGGAACTATGAAAGTGAAGCATCCAAGGAAGCTATATAAGGGGTCGGCCAGCACCTCACTATCAGATCCCACAACGGTTAAACACGTGACGCGCGGCGAGCCAACTTGGATAGGTCCTTTGTAAAACTCACCCCCAACTATTTATTTGTCCAGTGTATTATTAAATTCTACCCAAATTCTATTAATTACTGTGATCTTATTGCATATATATATATATATATATATATATATATATATATATATATATATATATATATATATATATATATTTATATATAATATATATATATTTATATTTGTGAATATATATATATTTATATTTATTTATATATATTTATATTTAAAATAATATTTTAAATTAAATTATATTTCCAAGACTTCTATGCCACTTTCAGAATAAAATAAATGACTTTTTTAGCTCTTGGAGACCCTCTGACCGTCTTCTCCTCCTCCAGAATGCGTGGCAATACAGAGCCCCAGAGGGTCACTTATCTGCGTGTCATGGGCACTCTGCTCACTTTGTCCCTGGCCAGGTCTTTCTCTACGACCAATACGACCTTCTCTATGGCTGTGTAAGTGGTGACTGAAGACCCTTCTGCCGCTGCTCGTGTGGTACATCCCTCCCTCCCTCACGTTTCCTTCCCGCTGGGGTGATAGTGGTGGTGGTAATGGGATGGGCGGGAGCAAACTGGGGTTTTGCAAAAGAAGCGATGACGAAAGGGCGAAGGTGGGGGACAAGACGTCGGGAATATGATGGGCTTTTTCAGGAGAGAGAGAGGGGAAGGGAAGTAGGCAAAAGGTAGGTAGGTATGCAATAGAAAGGGGAGGCGACAAATGGAAAAAAAGAAATTTGCGAAGATACCTTTTTTAACAATTAAGACAATTTTTTTAATAAATTAATCCCAGGGTGTATTTTTTATCATTACTTTTTGGAGTTGTCCAGGGGAAATGATTTTAAAACGTAGAGTGCTGCCATTTTACGAAACCTCATGCGCGATGTTTTTTTGCAATTCTTAAAAGAATGCTTCACAAATAATGTTGATTTAAGCTGGTATTAACATTTTTCGTAATTTGGACCCCAGTAATGCCCTTTTAAATTTAAATATGGCGCGAGACGTACTCATTAATACCAGGTCTAAATTAATACCGCTTCATATTCCCCACTTGTAAAAAATTTCCGTGTTGAAATTTCATTTTACAATCCCCGAAAATTTTCAGAGCCTTGACCCCAAAAGATTATTAGACCAAAAAATGAGTTCCCCTTTCCACCATTTCCCATGATAATTTGCTTAAGATTAGCATAAATTTGCCTATTAAGCCAGACTTAATTTTACCAATAACTTTTACATAACGAGGAAAGTTCCTTGATGCCAGTGAAGGGCTCATGATTCAAGAATTGTAGCTACCTCCTTTTCTTTCTATTAAATCTAATGTCTTCCAGCACTAGACCCGTTTCACCACTACTGTTTAAACTTTTCAATGATGGGAATGAAAATAGTAGATGGGGGGTAAGGGTCAAAAAATGGTTTACCCCGGGTCTGACTGCAGTGAGGTCTATGGGAAACGTACTCGCACTTAGGCCCCAGGGAAAAAATGTTGTGCACATTTTTGGCCCCTGGAATAATGTATTGCGCATTTACAGGCGACTGGGATGATTTGTATTTGCACTTTAAATCGAAAAGGGATAATGTTTCATGTACTCAGGGTTAGTGGTTTTATGTAAACACAGGGTCGGGTGGGATGTATGGGCAAAATTTGGTCACTTGGATGATAAACCCCTATATAAGTAGAGAGGGGACTACATGATCCATACCTACGATGAGTGGGGTGAAGAACCCGGTTTAAGTCGTATGAAGATTTGCAAGCCGAGTTGAGATTTCATTAGTGAAATCCTAGAGAGAATGATAAATTGAATTTTAAATTCAAAAAATAGTAAAGAATAACCATAACAATAGAAAAGAATAGCTTTAATAATAAAAAGAAAAAGAATTTTGCTAGAGAAAAAAACGGGGAAATAAGGCCAAAGGGTCAAACAAAAAGTAAAATTAGGCATTTTAATATATTTAAAAATTTGGTAGAGTGAAAACTTAGCTCGAAGGTGAAGCAATGTAAGGAGAATTTAAAAAAAATTTAAAAGGGGTCGCAAAACTGGGAAAAAATGGGAAACAGATCATCCCCCCCACCCATCGCTCCCCCCCATAAAAAAATGAACGGGGAAAAAAAGGACATGTTTTGATCAAGGGTCCCCGGTCCACTAATTACTAAATTAAAAATCCGCACTTTTTTTTCCCCCTCGCTCACCCTCCATGCATCCCAACCTGCATCCCTTTTTCACCCCCCCTTCTGAACACAACCCAACTTCCCTCCCAGGGCCTCCCCCTCCCCCGCTCCCTTCCTCCACCCAACCCACCTGCCTTACTGCCTTCCCGATACCAATATACACACCATGAAACCAGCACCCTGATACTGGCAGTACCACCCTGACACTGGCAGCACCGCCCTGACACTGGCAGCACCGCCCTGACACTGGCAGCACCGGCTGGAAGCTACATGACATATGAGAAGGGAACACAACATATAAATAGCTACTTTTTATATATTTTAGCGTTCTGTTTGTTCTCTTTCTCTAGTTTTTAGCACTAGTTAACTTTTATGATGATTCGTGAGGGTCGCAAACAGCTTGGCAGAGAATACAGACGATTAATACAGGATTAGGAATGAGAGATGATCTCTTTCTCCGTAATAGGCAATTAGAACATCTTTTATCTTAAATATACATCGAACATCCTCTTCTGAAGTTAATACAAGTCTTTCCATTAGACCATACATTTTGTGTCGTCTCTCACTTTCTAAATATGAAGATACCGTACTCACGTTTTCTGCTACTCTTTCCTCTGTGACCTCTTTCAAGTGCTGTAGCTGGTGTGTGTGTGTGTTTGTGTGTGTTTGTATACACGTAACTCGTGCCTTGCCGCTTCGTATTATCGCATCTGTCCTTTCTTACATATTAATAAAAACATATATATGTCGTGCTGAATAGGTAAAATTGCTCAGTTAGCAAGAATTCGTTTAAAATTTAGTCCTTTCTTAAATTTTCTCTTATACGTTTAAAGATGTATTTTTTTCATTTATGTTAATGTAAAAATTAATAATTTTGTACCAAAAGAACATTAGAAAACTTGCCTAACCATATTATAAGAAGCGCAATTTAATTTAGCCTAATCCAACTAAATATATTTTAGATAAGTTTACAACAGTTTAATAATAAACACAATGAAATACAATTTTTTCCGTTAGTTTCAGAATAATTTTTGAGAAATTTCTGCATACACAAATTTTCACTTGCCTTATTCGGCAAGAAGAGCGTTGCTATTTAAGCCAAAACAGCAAGTTTTACCAGCTCGGCACGACATTATATATATATATATATATATATATATATATATATATTATATATATATATATATATATATATATATTATATATATTATATATATACATATATATATATTTATTATTAATATTATAAACGTTTACTAAGTATGTGGGTTACCGCCTCTAATATGTCACCCATTGATTCGGAGAAGACAATAACAAGGCTTATGTGAAAATTATTTGCATTTATTCTTGTGAAATATTTTTATTTATAAATGGTGTGAAACTAAATCGCAATTTTTTTCGTAGTTTGTTCCAATATTTATTTTGTCATAATATTTACCTTGTCTGTTTCCATCAGGCCGTTTCGCACGGTGTCCTGGTACACCTGTATCGTCTACTCGTGCTTCTCACGCTCCTTGCATTTCTTCTTTCTTTTTATCCAGTGAACATTAACCTTAATTTTGTTTGTTCCATAGGCTCCCGTTTATGCAAAGTTTGTTTTACCTCTTTTTATTTTATCTGCCTTTTCATTTTTCAATGTGGCACTGCCATATCATATTATCAACCTTCCTCTGGTTCGAGGCTTCATATGTTTCAACCTATTTCCCTTGCCACTTTTTTCCCCGATTTCCTATTAATCTGTCCATTACCGTTTACGTCTCGCATCCATTAATGTAGGTATTTCTCCCTTGACTTAGCGCTGTATAGCCCTTGTGGCTTAGCGCTTCTTTTTGATTATAATAATAATTTCCCTTGACTTATTCAAATTAAAAGAAAAACATCATTCAGTAGGCCTACTGGCTCTTGCAAATCAGGTTCTTTAATACTACTGTTGTCATTCGTATATTCTATTTAAACGTTTCTTCCCTCCTCTATTTTCGCCTTGCCGACGTTTCTCTATATAAAATAAAGTACATCATTTTCCATTTTTGGTTTATTGTATCAGTTTTTCCCTTCGTAAATTTTCTTGTGAATTAAAGCTAGATTTTACTACTTAACCCCTATCCTATGTTATTACTTAACACTTATCCTATATTCATAACTCTTTATTTTGTCTCTCGCCTCTTGAGATTTTACTCTAGACCCTTTGGGGTTTAATGCTTTTTAAATATAGTTCACCCCCTCCCTCCCTCATTTCTCATCTTTACCATTAAAGAATACAAGCCACTATTGTGTCTGGTGCTATTCACACTTGACACTTGACACCTCAACATCGTCTCTTTCTAATTCCTTCCCCTCGTCTGTAATACTGTATACAAAAGTACGTTATTATTTGCGTTTTTTTTTTTATTTTATTAAAATTTTTAGTTTCTTGAATATTAATGGGGAAGTGGTAAATTTTTACAGCACTTTGGAATTGGTAGGTAATCATGTTTCATCCAAGGAAAGGGAAGGTTACTCCATTTTCTTGGATCAAAATTCCTTCACCAGTTTCCCAATTCCACAGCTTCTCGACACTAACCGATATCTTGTCTTATGGTCACCACTACAGGAGCAGACCCATAAGCACGCTGCTTCCACCTACCTCATCGACCAGATCGAACCACCACCGGAGTACGCCAGCCAAACCCCCTCACAACCTTCTAGTGCAGCCTACGACCCCCAGGAGGACGACTATGCTGAGGTTCTGAGGAGGAACGCCTACAATCATCAGCTAGGTGAGTAGAAATAACACAGGCATAGATGAACACTGTGGTAGCCCTATATGCTCTTGCTAGGTAAGGTCCCATGTTATACACAACCTTTGCCCTTCGTAAATTGTCCAAACTCTTTTTAAAGATATATATAGAGTGTTTAGAGTGTTTGCTTCAAGGACGGTGCTTGGCAGGAGCTTCCGCTTAGTGAAGTGTTTGTCTCCTGATGAGTATTTCACCTAATTCATCCATATAATAATAATAATATTCCACTCATTAAAAATTGTTGGAAAGCCAATTCTATGAATCCTTTCTAAATCTAGCTCTTATCTAAGTTACGTCCACAACGATAAAATTCATACATGTAAGAAGGCTTCTAGATAACATCTAGTTGAATAGAAAGAATGATCAAGTTTATGATTTTTCTTTGCACACAATTTGCAGACTAAAATCTCTTAGCCTTCCCGGTATTATACTAAAGTATACTTCCACCATCTTCCCTTCCTTAAGATGCAGTTCAACAATCGGCTAATACCTAAGGGGTCCATGGAAAATTTTCAAGATACACACAACTAGTTATGGAAATTTAGAAAATTTTGCAAGAAAATCTGCAAGTTTTTTAAATATGTAAATAATGAGGTATTGAAAAGGAGCACCTCGAAAGCGCCAAACTTTAGGTTTGAGAAAACCAGCTTTTTTTTTTTTCTGCAGGTGCAAACAACACTGCTACGTCAGAGACAGTGAAGAACAATGATTCTCACACAAGCGTAAACGAGGGCTGCAACCCATTGGCTACTCTTCGAGTGGCCAATGGGATGCATATCTCATTTTATCACTGGGCATCGTTTTGTCGCTGGACGAGTTGCTATTGTTACTGTTGAAATAATGACATTTTACAATGTAATAAGAGTGAAGCTGCATGTAGTATGTATATTGCTTTCGCCCTTCTCATTTTCAACATAACTGTAATTATTTTGGCATGGCAGAAAGTACTATACTCTCTGTCATCATTATTTCGATAGGCTGTTTTCGTACATGGAAAAGTATTTATTGACTAGAATTGAAAGCTGGGATTTGTGCTCATTTCTTTTTTGCATATTTTGTATTTAGTTTTAAGAATTATATTTAGTTCTATGTATCTACTATCAATTTAACTTTTAAAAGTGTACTGCAGCAGGCCTACTAGCCGAATAAGCGACTTAGGTCTATAAAGTAAGGTCATTTCTGTTGAATAAGCTGATTTATAGACTGACATACGATATGTTTAGCATAATTTGGCTAAAACAATTACGTTAGGTTTAAGTATTTTAGGTGAGGTTTGTAAGTTATGTCTGGTTAAAAAAAAATAGATTGTCTATCAGTCTGAATTTGTCTGGGGAAAAGTCCAATTTTTAAGGGAGTTCGGATATATATATATATATGTCGTACCGAATAGGTAAAATAGATCAGTTAGCAAGAACTCGTTCAAAATTAAGTTCTTTCCAAAATTTTCTCTTGTACGTTTAAAGGTATTTTTTGTTTTTCATTTATCTTAATGTTGAAATTAATAATTTTGTACCAAAAGAACCATAGAAAACTTACCTAACTTTATTATAACAAGCGCAATTTAATTTAGCCTAACCCAACTAAATATATTTTGAATAAGTTTATAATAATAATCAGATACAAATGAAATATATATTTTTGGTTAGGTTCAGAATGATTTTTTGCGAAATTTTTGCATCCGCAAATTTTCACTTGCCTTGACTCACGGAATCGTAATGACACGATTGCAACGCGACGGTCTGGAGTTTTGAGACTCTCTGATCGCGGGTTCTATCCCCGTCCGTGGTTTGGTTTGTTTCACACGCCTTATTCGGCAAGAAGAGCGTTGCTATTTAAGCCAAAATCGCACGTTTTACCTATTCGGCACGACATATTTATATACACATACTAGATATGAGACGATGCTGAAAATATTCGCGATAGTTTTTGTTACTATTGGAAAATATGGGTTACACATATAATTTCAAGAGTTCTTACGGGAAATTTAGATTACGATATGTTAGAGATAGTACTAAAGGGGCAAAAGGGATAAAGTAACTTGCATATGCATCTTGCTTCGCCTGCAAATATTCCCTTAGGAAAGTAATTTTTACAGTGATAAACCTTGTTCAGCTTCGATCCAAGGAAAGGGAGGAAACTTCAATTCAATGGATCTGGACCTTTGATTATGAAGGTAACTCCCTCGAAGGGCCATTGCTATACAGGATAAGTAAGAAAAGCTTTACAGTGCATTTCTAAATGAGAACTGATGAATGGCAAGTCTCAGCTTGGCGAACGTATGTAATCTGTGAATGTGGAACCTTGAGTAATAGGTATGAGTCGAAATTCATAAGTAAAATAGAATTTTGGCACCGTGTCCGTTCAGCAGGCAGCTTGATGCCGTTAACTTATTCACGCACCACAGATTTAAAAGTTTCTGGTTATAATGCTGCCTTTTTTTTTTTCTTTTTATCGTAGTTTTATAGTTTATCGTAGTTTTTTTTTTCTAGGCTTGAGGATTCACACAGTGTAGTTAAAGAAAACGTTTAGAAAGTTATGCTGGGATCCACTTAAGAAAATAATCGTAGTAAAAGTACGATAAGTTTGCTGCGGAAGTGAAGCAAGGTAGATGGGTGTGCTTTACCTTTGATAAGTTTCGAGAGTCTTTCTACTCCCGGAGCCCGGCCGTTGTCCAGGCCGTTGTGCTAGCCTAGGCTGTTACGGCTGGAGGCCCGCCGCTCCACATATCCATCACAGCCTAGTTGATATGGCACCTGTAAAGATACTTGTCCAGTTTTCTCTTGAAGACTTCTACACTTGTTCCAGCAGTGTTTGATATCTTCTGGTAAGATGTTGAATAATCTGGGGCCACGAATGCTGATACAGCTATCTCTAGGAGGTCTCTAGAGACTGAGAAGAAGCAGAGGTCGAGGGAAACGGAGTGCTATGAAAACAGTTTGCTCGAATACTCGCAAGACTTACACACGCATTTTCGTAGCTCAGTGGTAACATCTTTGGCTCACAACCGAAAAGCCCGGGTTCGATGCTAGGGCATGTAGATGCATAGACATTTTTAAATATCCGTTTGCCCTACCCATCGCGTGAGGAATATTTACCGGGGTCCGGGCTGACTGTTGTGGGTGGCATCCTGGAGGGTGGGATTCGAAATGAGCTGAGGCTTGACAGCAACTCAGCCGTTTGTAACTTCAATGGAGTAAGAAAATAACGTCGGGAGGGAATGAGCAAGATGAAGAGGGTGTATAGTGTTATAACGTCTGGTGATGGTAACACTGGCAAACGTAAGTTATATAGCGTATAGTTGGCAACATCTGTAAATAAATTTTAGATACCGTCTAAAGTTTCCTTTCCTAATTGCGGTTTAATAGTGAATTGTTCCGGCTGTAATACAGACTATCCTATTTTTCCTCATGAAAGGTACTGTAAAAAAGTCACCTGAACTTTGAAATGATCATTAAATTTTTAGACTCGGAAGGTTGTTTTGGAATATTGTAGTAGGGAAATAGGGCTTGGGACAAGAGTGTGAGAGGGAAAGATCTGTTGGGATAACGAAGAGAGCCTGTAGACCTTGGGATAGCAGTTGTTGCAGGGGATTAAGATAGCGATCATGGCCAGGATGATAGCTCAGTTCAAGGCAGGAGAAATATCAGAGTTTGAGCGAATAGAGATCATTTAAGGCGCGCATAGAGCCATTAAAGAATTTAAATTTGTGGGAACGCCTTAGTCATGAATATGTGCTCATTGGAGCGGAAGAGAGAGATATACATGATAATATATACCTGGAAAGTTTCGAGGGCGTGGTCCCAAATCTGCACACTGCCATAACATACTGGAGCACGATACATGGAAGGATGTGCAAAATAAACCCAGTGAAAAGCCAAGGGTGCCATGGGCACAATATGAGAACACTATCAACATTCGTGGCCCCAGATTATTCAACATCTTGCTAGAGGCTATCAGAAACACAGCTGGAACAAGTGACGAAGTCTTCAAGAGGACACTGGACAATTATCTTCACCAGGTGCCAGATCAACCAGGCTGTGATGGATATGTGGGGCAGCGGGCCTCCAGCAGCAACAGCCTGATTGACAAGGTTCCGGGAATAAAGACTCTCGAAACTCATCAAGGGGATATTAAAGGTAAAGGTAGCTTGAAAGAGAAGTGTGGGCCAGGAAGAGAACTTGCAACGGAGGACGGGTGATCGAGGGCTTGACTGAAATCTTAGTGCATCTCCATATAGTTTACTTAAATGTGCTTTCATAAAAATGAAGACGAATAATTAGTGTTAATTCTGATAAAAGCTTCTTCATCTGTTCTGTCCGCTGTAAACAAATATCTTAGAGAAATAAAGACAGTTGTGATGAAGTTTTTGTATTCAGTAATAATTAAATGTTGGTGAACTATGTGGCCATTGACCCCAAGTCAGTATTTGTTTTCTTAAATGCTTACCGATGTTTAAGTTAAGCTAGAGCTTAGTTTTTTACCCCTGAGCTATATGCTTTTGTCCATTGCTAGAATTAACAAAACCTCAGTAGAGGTATCCTGATGCTAGTGAAGGGATCTCAGTGTAAGGAATTGTACCTGTGTTCCAATTCCTTGAATGTAGCTTGAATGCCTTTCATTTTCCCATGCTTCAGTGCTACCCCAATAAATATAATAGGATTAACAAAAGTATGTGTAATTTGTTTCCCATTCTCTCTTTCTTATGCGTACGTATACGCATAAGGTAGTGTGCATACGTTGAGCATGATAATTTAATAATATGATATATTTTTTGTCATATCTGGACTTTTACACCCCAAAATAAGTAGTAAAGAGCTTGTAAGGACAGGAGGAAAAGGAGGTTCGATTTTTGCATGACCACTGACGTCATTCCAGAATTCACTGAGAAAGATTTCACTCATTTTTCTTTTCTCTCTTCTTCAGGGAAAGTTACGCCGCGCCCACCTTCTCGTGCCACCCACTACAGTACCTCACCAGAGACCCGTGGCTTCCTCAGTTTCTCCTACACGCCCTCCCCCACGGGCGTGCCTAACGGAGCCGCTCAGTACCACGCCGGTGGCCCCTCTGTAACTCTAGGTCTCCACGAACACGGCTACCCAGCCGACATGGGCAACATGAGCATTGAGGGAATTGACCATGCCCATGCTCTACAGTCACTGGGGCTTGACTCTGATCCTCCTCCCTCCCTAGGGCTTGAACAGCACTCGATCCCTTCCGAGCACCCCAGCCTCACGCTGGACCCACACTCCATTACTATAGATCATCCAGTAATTGCTGTCACCGACTTCTCCAACCGAAATGGGGACCTCAGAGTTCAGCCAACGAGCCTCTCCACCTTCAATCCCAACCCATCGCCTTCCACTTACAGCGAGTCTGATCTCGAGGGCCATCTTGTATGACTGTAAGCGAACCCGCTACCCATCGGGAGGGCGGTAACATGCTAAACTACTACTCAGAGCCCAAGAATAGCACAGCAGCATCTGTGTAAAAACGTTCTAGGATTCTTTCGTTCTTTCGAAAACCTGCTATGAGGCACTTCGATAACGAATCCCTGGACAGACACAGTCGGGCAATTCGTGCGGAGGCCATTAAGATAAATCAAGCATTCGAAACATCAGGGAAAATTAGTAATTTTTCACTAACTTGCTTGAATAACCAAAGAATACTTCTGACTAAAAACTGCATTTCAGCACCGCATGTGTACTTTTATGCGATTATAAAAAAATATTGGCTTTAATGTGCATTTTTTGCATAATCTATGTATGAGTTGTTTTATTGATATAAAGTGTGACCCTGCGTGTTGTGACCCAGTGTGTGAGCGAGGAATAGAGAGGTTTCTCTAAGTAGACTCTTTTATATTAACGAGACGAGAAGTCAGACTTTTTATTATAGGGTAGCCAACTCTCAAACGAGAACCACATGCAGGGAACAACTTGTCTTCGTTAGTCAATAACGGGATGCTTGAGTTGCTAGCGGCCTGAAGATGGTGGGAGGCTGAGGCGACGGATGGTTGAAGTAGTCGAGAGCCCATGGCTCTTGTGCATTGCAGCGCTGTGTTGGTGGTCTCTTGGAAACACCACGAAGAACTAGTGGATAAACTCGTTTTCCACAATGCTACCAATGTCAGTGAATGTGTTAGTTTTCTACATCTCCATGATCTGGTGTTCAGTGTTTACCTCTTGCAACACGACGAAAACTGGTGTTGACTTCCTTGCAGGCTATGCGGACCTCTAGCCTTTAAGGCTTGATAAATTCGTGTGAAAATTATTATCATAAGACGATGTCAATGGCCATCTGTGATGCACCTTGGCTTTCCGCTCCCAAGATTTTATGTGAATTACCATTGACGAGACGGATGCCAGGTTTGTGATTGCAATACAGCTACTGATAGAATTCTCTCTATACAATTGGTTGAAATATATACATGATTTACATATAATATGAAATGTACAGAAAAATCTTAAATATTGTTGAAGATCTGGGTTCGATTCTCATAGTTATATATTTATTATATATATATATATATATATATTATATATATTATATATTATATATATATTATATATATATATATATTATATGCAAAACAACCACTGTGAAAGAATAGAGAAATTCCAAGCGATTTCGTGACTACTCACATTATCAAGGAACTATGAAAGTAAAGCATCCAAGGAAGGTATATAAGGGGTCTGGCCAACACCTCACTATCAGATCCCACAACAGTTAAACACCTGACGCGCGCCTGTTGTGGGATCTGATAGTGAGGTGTTGGCCAGACCCCTTATATACCTTCCTTGGATGCTTTACTTTCATAGTTCCTTGATAATGTGAGTAGTCACGAAAGCGCTTGGAATTTCTCTATTCTTTCAGAGTGGTTGTTTTGCATATTCTGAAATCACCTGTTTACTGTGATCTTATTGCATATATATAAGTTCTAGCGTAATATACGAGGGTGGCTAGAATAACTTATCGTAAAATGCACTTATTATCAACGTTCTCGTGAAATATCAACATTCTCAGCATCTGTTAAAACATTACAACACTTGTACAAAATATAAAAACAGAGGTATGAATAAGTAATAGAAATGATAAGAGTCTAAAGCCAGACGAACCTGCTAGAGTTCGACCCAATGGAAGGGTGAACTGATATTGACCCAGTTACGCAGTGGTTAGGCCGAGGTCAACAATGAGAACACTCAAGGAAGGAGAAGAGAAGTTTTAATGTAAGCAATAGAACTCCCGACGTTCGCTCACTAAGCTCTGGTTTGAACTCCCTAGTATTTGAACCTTAAATTTTCTAAAAAAAATTTCCTTATGCACAATGTAAATTGTTAGTCATTAGTACTTAGTAAATGACCTTTAATTTCGGAATGTAGTCACAGTTGAAAAAAAATGTGTTTAGCTAATTTAGTAAGGGTACACAGGGCCCTCTGTGCTCACATATTCTAATCTACAAGTTTCTGAGCTTCCAACATATGTAGCATAACAGCTAGAACATGTTGGTAAATAAAATAACTACCAATCGTTAAAGCATTTATATATGTTGCTAGTTATATTAGATATCAAAAGTAAGCGCTAAACCCACCAGGATCATGCAGCTTCTATTATGATATAAGCATTTTATTATGTCACGTCTAAATCTTAGGTCAGTCGAAAAAATTAGGAAGTGTTAGCACAGAGGCTTATCATGCAGAACCCTTGATTAATCAGGTAAATACACCTTTTTCAATTCGACTACATTCCGAAACTAAAGGTCATTTACAACGTATTAATATCTTTAAAAGTATACGTAGAGCACGGGACAAATTAAATTTAATAGAGAGTTTAAATATTAGAGAAACAAGTCCGAGCTTAATGATTACACATCGGCACTCCAATTATTTACATAAAAGCAAATATGTTCTTCCTTCTTGAATTTTCTCATACTGTTGACCTCTGCCTGACCACTTTGTAGCTGGGACACACTCGGTTCAACACACCATAGAGTAACGCATTTATTGGTATGTCTGCGAATTTAGTCTCTAATTTTAACTTATTTGTTGATACTGTCTTCTGTACAGGTTTGGAAAGGTTTTAGAGATTCCGATAATGAAAGATTTCGCAGAGAAGTTGCACTGGGGTGTTCAACAAAAATACTTCGAAAATAAAACTATTTTTTCTTTACTAATTTTGATTAACTAAATATGGAAATGTTTTAAAGTTGCAAATTAGCTCTATAAATCTATGGGCTCCACCGGTTACTGCTTTCTTAAACTTGGGAAGGAATTAAGGTGAATAATCCGGAATGTAAAAAATGCCCTTGATTCTGTTCCACAATGCTTAAGTTTTTAACCCACATATACAATTATAGCTACAATACACAGTGTAAAAAAAAGGGGGGAGGGAGGAGCATACAATTTCCTATAGCCAATCGATCGTTATTATAGTCATATTCTGTACAACACCCAAAAAAAAAAAAAAACATTAAATGATGTTCCTTTTTTCTTTGAAGCACAAATGCATTTCATCAGAATTTTCTGCCACCCTCGAGTGCGGGTATACAGGAGATCTCATATAAAAGGATCAGTTGCAATAGGCATGACTGTCTTAGATTTTTCATGCTGAAATTCCGCTTTGAAAGCTTCCTCATTGCTCCAACACACACACACACGTACTACGTTGTAAAGAAGGGAATTAAAA